GAAGACATAGCGTAGACGGCGGCCAAGTATGGCAACAACCTGTTCTGGTGCAATGGGTAGTTCAACAACTGCTCTTCCCCACCCAAGCCGTCGGAGTTCTTCCCGAACTGTCTTCTGGCGACGGCGTATCTCAATGCAATGGTCACGAAACGGGCCCCACTTCTGAAGGAATCATAAACCATGGAGACTCTCCCGTCCAAAAGCGCGGAGTACGCCACTTGAGCCAACGGACCGTTGTGCACAGTACCGTCTCTTTCAACCTGGTCCCACTTAGACAACATGTAAGCGCGAGGAATACGCACGTTGCTGAACTGAATCCATCCGTTATCGATACCGTCTCTACCCATCTTGGCACCAATGTCACCCACAGTGACACCCGGCATCAAATCGTGGTTGGAATCTCTCAAGGGCACCACAAAGGTCTTGACTCCGTGGTCTTCACCCTTCAGGATCAAACGCGCGTAGACCGAGCAGTGAGTGGCAGAGTGAGCTGCCCCACCAATCCACCACTTGGTGGCACCCACATGAGGGGTGTTGATGACAAACTCATCAGTGCCGACATCAAAAGTGGCGGTGGTTTCCAAGCCAGCAACGTTGGAACCGTGGGCAAGCTCCGTCATACCGAAGCACCCGTAAATCCCCTTCAACTGTAATGTGCCCTTGGTGATAATCCAGAACTGGAACTGTTCCTCGGTACCGTTACCACGAACACAGTTAAGGAACAACCCCAAGTTGATCCCAATTCTGATGGAAGTCAGAGGGTCGAATGCATTGAGCAAGTGCAAACGCTTGGAGAATTCTTCCGGGGTGTCGTTTTCCAAGTATTGAGCCAAGCGGGCAATCTTCTTAGCTGTGAGCTCACGCTTTTGATCCTTGGAAAGGTCGTAAACGGCAGTGGATGAGGAAATGATAGGGTCACGTTCGAATTGGAGGTAGGTGCTCTTGACCAAGGCAGCCTGTTCACTACCACCCTCCAAAAAATTGTTCATAACATCGAGATCAAAGTTGGTTTGGGCTCTTTCTTTAGTGATAGAGGCCGCTGGGTCTGGACCTTTTGCGTAGGTGACAGACATGGTATTGTGTATTAGTATGTGAGGAAGTAGTATTCACAGATTGTGTGTGTCGAAAAGAAGCGAAAGGTAAGGTGAAGACAAGTGGCAGCTTATATAGGGCCCCAGAAAAATATGGACTCCGGGAATTTCTTTTCATGTGGGGCGACTGCAGATGCCTCCCCACAAAAATTGCATGTGCTCATTTGTTATGCTCGGCACCTATCGGCATGGACGGACATCGATCCTGTCACATAATGGTTGCGCAGCTGAAATTTAGCGGTGCCGCCTGAAGGTCTCCCCGCCGCACGACACACCTGACCACCTCCCCCGGGATTAACGGACCAGAGTTTACCCTGTGTCGAACTCTCTGTTTAATGGAAGAGCAGCTAGCATATGCTAACGATCCGAGTCGACTTCTAGTTGCTTATTTGTCTCCGAAACAGTCGCCTGCTGAAAATGTGGATTAATGCATAGCCACATACCTAGCTATAGAAAACTGTGTTATATCTGTAACTTCACAACTGGCAAAAAGAGCCATCAGTCCCTTGGTATCGTATAATGTAGACATAACAAAAACGTAGCTGATCTTGAGGACCCATATCACATGCGAAACGGCCTCTGATGTTTTTGTAGATTTCAACGTGAATGATCAGATGCGACTTTTACGAGATCTTCCAGGACCGCTTAGTATTCGTTCGAGGCGAGCAGTGTAAAGTTCACGGAAACTCCACCAACAAGCATTAGGGCGAAAATGCTAGAAGCTTTTACCTCAGTGAGCTAGTACGGAAAGAATATTTATCTATAATCGAGTACGTTCGGTAATCTTGGAGCATAGATAAGATAGTACGATATATGCATGGATTATTCCCTTCCGACCTTGCAGGGAACCACGCAAATGCGCATAATACATTAAAATTCTTGACGCGTTCCTTGGGCATATGTGGAGGGCCGGAAAAGCAGCATGGTTAAAAGTACCCAGTTGTATTTGGTGGTCTAGGGCAACGCATAGCGCTTCATGCTCTTATGGAAGCAGTTCACACAGTAGGTATATTGTTTGTTTACTCAACGAAGTAAAGCTTGACCCTCGATGGTTAGGAAAGTGCAGTTTTCGATTGTATTTTGACAAATGGGGATGCTGAGATAGCTAAGTAAATCGTTGAAGCCAAAGCCAAAGGCCCAACCATTGATGAAGCTGAAGATTTTACATCCGGGCCAAAATACTACAGATACTCGACAAAGGTTTCATGCCCGAATCTCGTTAGCCGCTAAATGACTAGCACGTCTACGGATCTACGCATGTGGAACACTAAAAGGTTGCATAGAAATGAAAGTGGAAGTAAACTCATAAGCCTAATCATAGATACTCGATATAAATAAAGTTAACAAGCTTATTCCTCGTCCTCACCGCTCAAAATTCTCAAAACCTGCTCGGAGCGTTCGTTTCTCTCTCTGACATTGAGATCCTGTCTGTTCAACATCTTC